ATCCTTCGCAAACACTGTCAAGGTACTTTTATTGCGTTCCAAAGTTTTTTGAATAATTTTATGGATAGCAATATACAAAAAATATCGTACTTCGGAAAGACGTATATATACGTCCGGTCAATTAATGCTTTGTTTGAGCGAGACCTTTATAAGCCCCGATAGCACTTAAGAGGTTAAAGTCGTATTGTAGCTTTAGTGTTTAAGTGTATCATTGAATTAAATACATTGTTATTGTGTATGGAGGGGGGAGTGACGAAAATTATGATTGATTATTGGGTCGCAAATATTGAAACTTTGAGAAGCACTGGCTTACGCATTTTGGGGGCTCTGAAGCTTGTGTGGGGCTCTGTATCTGATATGGCTGATGCGGCGTTAGCTACAACCCTGCTCTCACACAAGTAATTAGATAGGTCATTGAGTACACAATTCAATTTAATATAATCGTATAAATATGAATAACAGTCATTTATAACTCTCCTAATAAACCTCATTACCATTTCCCTTTTGAGCATCCAAAGCACTAACTACCATCCACAACATTTCGCGCACTTCCTCAGTTTTAAAACTTTTGTTTTTCTAGTTTTCTTTTCTTTCATCCTGAAAGACTACAAAAACATATAGATATATAATGACTTTCTTTATTTCTCTGTCATCACAGAACAGCCTTAGCCAAATGTCCCCCATTTTTCTATGGTCTATTCAGACAATTGAGAAGGATCATTGACTTCGGAGGTTAAACGGCTCTGACAAATGACCAAGAGAGGCATCTTGGAGACAGACGAATGAGACATACTTAGCAAAATAATACAAATTTGTCCTTCCTTTATTCAGATAAAGACGAGGAAGTTCAGAAAATCGTACTTTTTAGACTAGGAAACTAGGACGGATAAATTTAAAATTACGGAATATTCATTTTTAAAGTTTAAAATTTGTGTGAATAGTGATAATTTACATTCATCCTATTGAGGACACTATAAGGTTGGGGATTTGAATTAATGTCGCTCTATAGACACATTGTGCCTGATTTAATAAGTTTGGACCACTTTTTTTCTCAAATGGGAAGTCAGATCTTCGACCTTTTAACTTGTGCTCTGTCCACTCGACTTCTTAAAGAGAGTTTCAGTTGCTTTTAATGTGCAACCTATCCCAATATATTCCACCTATTGAAAATATGAATAATTGTAGCCAAAGTTTATATATATATATATATATATATATATATTCCATGAGTGCTTTTTATTTTTATGAGTACTCAAATAATCAAAAAAAATCTTTAAATGAATGGTAAAAGTCTCGAAAATATACAAAAATTAATTACGTATTTAGTTCAAACACAGTGTGGTTTATATATATACGCATTACAATTCTTTTTTCCGACTGAACAAACATATTTAGAATAATTATAAAGGATGCGAATTGTGTGAGAATTACATGTGAATTATTTAATTAATTCAGACGGTAATTAAATGGAAGAAAGTTTTTAACCTAAATTATATCTATACCTATAGTATAATTTAAATAGTCACACAATTCAAAATTAGTTCAAAATAAAGAAAAGAAACTTAAATAGAGAACTAAAAATATTTCAGAAACCAAAACAGTTATATGTATACGTAAACAAGCTTATTGTGTTGGTAAATACAAAGGAACAATTTCCCACTATTGGCTGTATATTGTGGCATTTGGCAACGTCTTTTCATTTGACGAATGAGTCGACGGCATAATACATAAGTACCCTAAACAGTGTCCAGTGTTAATTGCTAATGTCTTGAGTTTGAGTTTGAGTTAATATTAACGTCGCACAGTTCAGCTACACGAGGGCTTTTGGCGACGGACCACGTAATTTTGAACCATGGTCAAGTGACGTGGACGACACCTGAGCTGGCACCCCCCTCTCCTAACTACCACACCACACCAACGGGAGGACGTTTCAGCTCTCGACAGATTTAACGTGCATCGCTGCCCTACACGGCGGGTCTTCAGTGGTATTGGGCTCGAACTCATGACATTAATTGCTAATGTCAAACTCTAGGATAATAGTCTTTGTAGGTCCATACTCACACACAACTAAACGCAGAATCTGAAAAGACGATTTGGAATGATCTACATCTGTGGTCTTCAAACTTTTTTATCTTACGGAACCCCTAGAACTTGAAGGTGCTTTCGTAAAACCCCTAGAACTAGAGAGGGTTTTCGTGGAACCCAGTGGCGCACGCAGGGGGGGAGGGG